CTACACAACTGGTACACAACTAGTTTCTGACACTCACTTGTCACAGAGAATAAAGGAAGTCAAACAATATTTACATGGTTTAAACAGCCATTCAGATTTTTTTATTATACATTTTACATTTGAATCTGGACTAAAAATGAGAGCCCAGAAAAGATATCTAGTTTCAGATTCTTTATAGTCGTGTTCTATTGCACTATTGTTTTATTGCATTAAAATGTTAAAGGATATTTTGAATATGGTGATAAAGCTTAAGGAATATTGTGACATGAAAATTAGATATGGAACATGTCTACAGCATTAAGGTGTTTGTTTAACTCAGTATATTGTTATATTTTTATCGTTGAACATGGGTTCAGTCAAACACATCTCATTCAACTCACCAGCTCTAAGACCTGAAATGGGTCTGTCAGATAAGAGAGATATCCAATGGGAACAGTGCATATTTTGCAAGAATAAATAGTTTTAAACTTTTTTATATAATTAAGTGTACTAAATTAAAATGCTAAATTGACTGCCCTAATTATTACCTTTGAAACCATGTCAAGCCTATGTCAAAGACCACAAATATTTAGTTCTTAAAAAAAACACATGCAACCTTCTTCACAGTTAACCAAAAAAAGAAGTTAACATTGTAAAGATCTTGAGCTCGCTCTGTTTCTACATATGTCCTGTGGTAAACTTTGTGAGGTTAAAATGAAAAATTTGACATGCAGACTTTGTGTTTTTGTCACACATCTCCTAGTTTATGTCTTGATTAGGTCTGTTGACAATCTCATCCCCTACTGCATTATGGGGTAATGAAAAATTTTAGATTTTTAGATTTAGATTTTTAGAACAAACAATAGCTTGTTGTCCATCAACAATTTACAACACCGAGTGTATGATGCAACAAGCTAAATGAAAATGCAAGTTTATTCTATGGAAAATAATACTCTGGCTAACCTGGTACACAAAGCACTACACAACTGGTACACAACTAGTTTCTGACACTCACTTGTCACAGAGAATAAAGGAAGTCAAACAATATTTACATGGTTTAAACAGCCATTCAGATTTTTTTATTATACATTTTACATTTGAATCTGGACTAAAAATGAGAGCCCAGAAAAGATATCTAGTTTCAGATTCTTTATAGTCGTGTTCTATTGCACTATTGTTTTATTGCATTAAAATGTTAAAGGATATTTTGAATATGGTGATAAAGCTTAAGGAATATTGTGACATGAAAATTAGATATGGAACATGTCTACAGCATTAAGGTGTTTGTTTAACTCAATATATTGTTATATTTTTATCGTTGAACATGGGTTCAGTCAAACACATCTCATTCAACTCACCAGCTCTAAGACCTGAAATGGGTCTGTCAGATAAGAGAGATATCCAATGGGAACAGTGCATATTTTGCAAGAATAAATAGTTTTAAACTTTTTTATATAATTAAGTGTACTAAATTAAAATGCTAAATTGACTGCCCTAATTATTACCTTTGAAACCATGTCAAGCCTATGTCAAAGACCACAAATATTTAGTTCTTAAAAAAAACACATGCAACCTTCTTCACAGTTAACCAAAAAAAGAAGTTAACATTGTAAAGATCATGAGCTCGCTCTGTTTCTACATGTAACCTGTGGTAAACTTTGAGGTTAAAATGAAAAATTTGACATGCAGACTTTGTGTTTTTGTCACACATCTCCTAGTTTATGTCTTGATTAGGTCTGTTGACAATCTCATCCCCTAGATCCTGCATTATGCAAATAAATGCCATAAATCTTGCTGTTCTTGTTCTTGCATTTGTCTAAACAAACAGGCATGAAATGCAGATTGAGTGCTGGAGACTAATTGACGTGAGGTGATTTCCATCATTGTTTTGCTGTCTCGCATTACCATGCCTCATGCATTGAGTGCCCGGTCCCTCTGCGAGCATGTGAGATGAATTAGATCTTAAGATCATTGATGTGCATGACACACGCTGTCTTATTATTGATGAGGGAGAGATAAGGCAAAGACTCCAGGCTTCAGCCAGGAGGTCAGACACAAACAGACTGGAGAATCACAACTGTGACCTCAATTATAATGTGAATCTGAACATTACATCACTTATCCCTAAAATCCACTTTGCTCATTGATTATCTGATGTGGTGTGTCAGTTTCACATAAGAAGGCTTCCCAAAAGCACTGGCTTGACGTTTGAAGGATGATCCAGCGAAAATGGACTGCTGGGAGGACCTCAGGAGCTCTGTTTCTGCCCAGGCCTCCTGGTTTGTATGGGCCGCAATTAGAGTTGTCATGGCCTGTCCGGCAGCATCATATTGATCTATGGGCTGTAGAGCAGGGGCTGTTATCCACTAGACCCAGTCGTCCTGCTTTCTCCCGTTTCTATATCTTATCCTCCCACTTTATCTCTCCCCCGACTCCGAGTACAGCCTGTTTTAATTACCATCTCTCTATGGCACCCCCTGCCTGCTATCTGACAGCTGAATCGACAGAATGGAGCTCTGCCTTGTTCATTATGAAAACAGCAAGAAGACCTGGGGCCTCATGACAAAACTTTGCGTAGTAAATGATCTGTACGCACAAACAATCAAGTGCAATCTATGGAGGCACATCTATCTATCTATCTATATATCTATCTATCTATACATTCATCTTTCTTTCTATCTTTCTGTCTGTCTGTTCATCCATTTATCCATCTTTGTCTATTCTTCTTTACTTCCATCCATCCACCTATCCATATATATTCATCCATCTTTCTATCCATCCATCCATCCATCCATCTTTCGATCCATCTTTGTCCATCTATCTTTCTGTTATTTTTGCTATCTTTTCTATCTATATTTCTGTTATTCCATCTTTATAGTTCTTTCCTTCCATCCATCCACCTATCCATATATCCATCCATATTTCTGCCCATCCATCCATCCATCCTTCTGTCTAGCCATCTTTCTATCTTTCCATCCATTTTCCATTCCATTTTCCCAGTCTGATTGTTAGATGTACCTATAACACTGTTTTTCTCAATATAGGCTACACTCCTGTCAAAAGCAGGAAAAAAAATATTTAAATCGCAGGCAGGCCATTTATATTACTTGATAGGCCCCAAAGACACATATTTCATTATCGCTCAAACTGGAACATAGGCACACTTACTGTAATTATGAACGGCAATATGTTCCCCTGGAGTTATGACTGACATTATGAGTTTAAAATATGTCCTTCCAAAGTTAACACTGAGATCACTGTTTATACCGCAACTTTCTCATGTAGCTTCCCTTGAGGCCACCAGAGAGGTTTATTCACAGTATTATATACCCCTGGGAGATAAAACAGGAGGCATAAGAAGGTTCTTCTATATATGCGGTCTGAAAGAAATCTGACATCAAAGAAACATAAGAGCCAAAGAGCATCTGTGGAGGGAGTGCATTTAAAACATCATAACCTGTGCTTAATGCTACAGATAATGTTACTTTTATGTTAATTTTAAGGTCAAGGTAGTTGTAGCGGCAAGTAAATAAAACATACAGTAATATTCCAATGTTGAATGAATGAATAGCAAACCTCTGTGATGAGGCTATATGTCAAAGAAACCAGTACTGGAACATTGACTCAAGGACAGTCTCTTCTCCTCTTTATAATGTCACATTAAAGACGGCCAGGAGTTACTTCCTCACCACTTATGATGTACATTTAGTGACAGGCAATAACAAGGTCAGTGTTTTGATGGAACTTTAATGACAGCCAGTGTGCTGGGATTTGAAGACCTGAGTATTCAGTGAATAATATTCTCCATTTTGATTACCCAAGGGCCAAGACTAACTTTAACAACAGCTCTTGTGCTAGCACACCATGTGCTGGCTATGAAAGTGCACTGGGATCATTCAAGAATGACTTGAAAGAAATGGACACAGAAAAATTAAGGGTAAAAGAACACCTTATGAAGTATCGGAGAGTGCAGTGGAGGAAAAATGTAAAAGAGCAAGTGGGTTCAGGACATTTTTTGGCTTCATCTACACCTAGGAAATGTGGAAATGGGGCAATGTTTTACTTTTTGTAAAAATTGGCTTAAAATGTGACCAGGTTTAATGGGATATTCGGGGTTCAATACAAATTAGGTTTAATAAACAGCATAATGTTGAATAACATAACATTTTATTTCAACTTGCAAGTGAATGAAGCAAATCCATTAACATTAAAATACTGTTACAAAGACATACACATATTTTAGTGTGGAAATCACTTACTAAACTTTTCTGTGTAAAGTTAAATTCAATTTTGCAAACTTTGTTGCCAAGACAGCATAACCCATAAAACCCTAAAATAACAGTAAAAATAACCTGAACATCTTTAAAGCTCAAATAATACACAAGATACAGATACGGTAATCAACACTGTGCCACAAAATCTGTCAACTGATCTTAACTTGTGCTAAACCCAGAATATTCTTTTAAAGTATAAAAATAATATCCCTTACTCTCATCAACCAAAAAAAGGTCATTTTTTAACCTTGTGCTGAGAACCAAAGGACTCAATGGCTTTTATGATTAATAAAAATATAGGGCCATCCTAATTTTAGAGGCCATTTAGAATGGATTCAAACAATTCGACTGAATGTGACCCTGTGAAAATTAGTAAAAATGTCAGATTTGGGTTGTAAATCTTATCTGTGTCACTTGTATTTTATGCTTATGGATCTCCAGTGTGCAGTTACGCTGTGAATTCTGCCAGCACCACACTTGATAAATGCCTTTTTATGGAGAGCACAGAAAATGATCAGCATCTGGGAAATGATCCTTAGACTTGGATTAAAAGCTATTTTATCAGGGCGAATAACGAGTACTCTTCAGTGTGTGCATCAGAAAGGTCATTATATTCACACATGTGACATCTGCCCTCCTCTCATCTGAAATGCTGATTGGACATATCTGACCTCATTACGCTTTTGTCCTTCTCTGCCCCCAAAACAAACCCTTAATGGATGTAACCTGGAAGTTTTGCCAACTCACACTGTCACGTTGCGGTCTGGGCAGCTGTCTCCGAAGGTGCCCCCCTGCTCCTTGAAGGTGATGAGGTTCCAAACAGCCACCACGGTGTCTTCAGGCACGTTGAAGTGGAACAGCTCCACGCTGGCAAAAGAGCGGTAGGCGTTGAGCTTGCGAGGCGTCCGGGTGAAATAGTCTGTTACAAACAGGCAATCTAGGGAATGGAACAGGGAGAGAGTTGTTTAGATAAAACACGGTGATCTTAGGTGATCGACTAGAAGCTGGGTGGGAAGAGGGTTGGAGGAATCAGTCTTAATGTGGTTTGGTTGACCTTCCTTCTGAAAGCCCCACCAGTGATTTAATCACACTTGCATGCTTTGGCTTTGATTCAAAAACCCAGACTCTATGCAAAATTAATTTCATTGCAATCCTTCAGTACAAGGCCAGTGAGGAAGCAGCAATATGACATTTGCAATCTGCCTTAATGAGCCGTGGCTTCCTATGGCTCCATCGTCAGAGAGCCTAATGGCTTCCAATCTCCTCAATGATTTGTGGAGGGAAGCATTTATACTCAACTGCCCAGTTGCTTCCATGATATTCTTGTATTCCCTGTGTGTTCAATGCACAGGTGCAATTGCAGTTTGCTTGCCCCAGATGAATGTTGCCGTTACTAATGAGCATCTTCAGTAAGTGTCTTGACTGCCCTTTCATCATGGTGATAGTCTATGGCTGTCAAGGTCAGTCAAGACATCCAGTAGATTAATATACTATACACTACATGGCCAAAGGTTTGGGGTCAGTAAGAATTTTTCTGAACGCAATTAATACTGTACTTGTGTTCAGAAGGAATGAATGCATTAAATTGACTTTTACACTGTTACAAAAAAATAAAAAAGATTTAAACTAAATGCCGTTCTTTTGAACTTTCTGTTCATCAAAGGATCCTGAAAAAATGTATCCACATACATTATTTCCACAGAAATAATGTTTTTGAAATAAGTCTCATATGCTCACCAAGGCTGCATTTAATTGATAAAAATACAGTACATTAAAACTGTAATATTGTGAATTATTATTACAATTTACAAATAGCTGTTTTCTATTTGAATATATTTTAAAATGTCATTTTAGTTATGACAAAGCTGAAATTTTAGCCGGCATTACTTCAGTCTTCAGTGTCACATGATTCTTAAGAAATCATTCTAATATGTTGATCTGGTGCTCAAGAAACATTTATCATTATATTTTGTAACAAATGAGTTTATTGTTACTTTTAATCAATTTAATGCACCCTTGCTGAATAAAAGTATTCATTTCACCCTAACACGATTCATTCATTTAAAAAAACCCTTTTTGCGAGACAGAGTACTTATTAAATTACAAAATAAATATAGAAAATGTTTTATCCTGATCCAATCTGATATAATATTATTATATTTTAAAAAAAAATACTTTTTCAACAGAGTAGCTTTACTGAAATTGAAGTACTTAAAATATGAGTAGTTTGTAGACTGTTAAATTACCATTTCAAAGTAACATTGCCATACACATTCAGAGCAATCATGTAATTCAGTCCTGAAAATGAATGCATTTGTTGCCAGACTGAACCTGAACATCCTAAAGCTCCCTGACTGAGGAGATCCCAAATCTCATACCCATCAATACTTTACATTCCCCACAGCTCAGGAGCAGCACTGCAGCGTAAATATCTCTGGAGATAGTTCGTGTGTCATAGAGAGAAAATGAGAAGAAATGTATAAAGTTGGGAAGCTGGATGAGTGAAGACAAATGACAGCACCTGTATGTCAGCTCTAGCCATCTGTTTAATCTCTTTCCCGTCGAACCCTTTGCTTCTGTTATTAACAGACACAACAAATCAACCGCCTTGACACTTTTATTAAGCTGATGGACTCTCAGAGGTATGACGCCAGTATGGCCTCTTCATCGGTTATCTCAGACAGCACAGTACATCCCACTGATGGGCTTCACATGCAATCACTTACAGTGCGAATAAAATTACTGAGTGAAATATAGAATATGAACCCACACTATTTGGTATTGTATGAACTGCAACAATGTCCATCCAGGGCTGAAATGTAGCATTTATAACAACTGCCCCACTAGCTTAAATATATTAATGTATCTATCTTAGGTGCAAAATTAGTCAATGATTTTACAGGGGGAAAAAAAATTATACAGCAAACTGAAACTCTAAATTTGAAATGTGATTTACTTTCTCAAGCAAGCATATCTGTCAGACAGAAATCCTACTGGTGGCCCAGTCAGAGGCGGACAGGCTGATTACCCCTCATGTCAATCAGAAACAATGACAATGTCATGTTGTTTGACCGTTACATGGGCTGATGCAATGCAGGTGTGTCAAAATACGTCCTCTTGTCTTGTCCACAAAGCAAGCCAAGGATATCCTTGTACTTTGAAAGCAGCAGGATACTAAGGTTCAGAAATTACACCTGTAAACTGTGGGGTGAATTCACTAAACATTTATCTCAGCTTTAACCGACTGCAAACAGCTTAAACAGGTGCAATCTATGCCGGGTTTTTTGGTATGGCGTGTGTATTTAATTAACTCCAGTGTCATTCTATTCAGCACAAACATTCCATCCTTTTTTTATACAAATTAGGTTTAAAGCCTTATTCACAAAAACAGTCAACACTATTTGCCTGGCACAATTAACGCTGCTCTAATATATCCCCCGCGGTATTCAGCAACCAGAATTTTTCAAAATGAAAATGATACAAAAATAAAATTTGTTCCAAACCTGTATGACTTTGTTTTCTTTTGTGTCTTTCATTTTGAGTAATGTCTCTGTGTTTCTTTTTTTCTATAAAGTGGAAGTCAATGGTCACCAAAATGGTAAAATTACCAACATTTTTCAAAATATCTTCCTTTGCACTTCACAGAAGAAAGAAAGCCATATAGGGTTAGAATGAAAGAAGGGTGAGTAAATGATGACAATGTTCATTTTTGGAGGGACCATCCCTTTAAAACCAAAGGAGACAGTACACTCTTAAAAATAAAGGTGCTTAAAAGGTTCTTCACAGCGATGCCATAGAAGAACCATTTTTGGTTCCACAAAGAAGCTTTTGTCAAACAGAAAGGTTCTTCAGATGTTAAAGGTTCTTTATGGAACCATTTAGTCAAAAAGGTTCTTCTATGGCATCGTGAAGCACCTTTATTTTTAAGAGTGTATGTGCAAATAAACAACACTAAAAATAAAGGTGCTTCAAAAGGTTCTTCAAGCGATGCTATAGAAGAACCATTTTTGGTTCCACAAAGAACCATTCAGTCAAAGGTTCTTTAAAGAACCATCTCTTTCTTGAGTTTTTGTAATCTGAAGAACGTTCTTCAGATGTTAAAGGTTCTTTATGGAAACATTTAGACAAAAAGGTTCTTCTATGGCATTGTGAAGCACCTTTATTTTTAAGAGTGTATCAGTGGGTGTAATTCGTTTTTAGTGAAATTCTCCCTCAGTATGCAGTAAAAATTGCACTCCACTAAGGGAACAATATTTATCTGTTTTAGTACAACATCGCAATATGTTTCAGTGCTAAATGTTTTACCTTGATATTTCCATATAGACATCTGACAGAGATATACCATGTTGCTTATAGTTGGTTTGACGATACACAACCTGCCAAACAGCAGTGCACTCACACACACATTATATTACTGATCGAAGAAGTTTAAAACAGTTAAGTCAGATGACCAGTTCAGTTCATATATCTGATTCATATTAAGCTCATTTTTGATCCAGTGTTAATCCAATCCAGCAATACCAAATAGCGTGCATAAACACTTATGCAATAAATCTCACTAAATAATCCTGAATAAGAAAAAAGTGATCTACTCCTACAAGCCCACAATATAAAATTATAGATTTATAAAATTAAGAAAAATTAGGCAAAATCTTGATTTTATTTTTTTAAGGGGGGGTGCTTTTGTATATGCTCCTAATTGCTTCAAAATAATTGATTATTTGGTATATGTTATATAAATGTAGTATTTATTTTATTAATTTTCAGTGAATACATGTTCATATCAAAGCATGTGGATATAAACATTTCTAAAGTAATTCTGTCCTTCCACAGCACATCTTGTCCTTGCTTTTCTCGCAGAACACAAACTCTGCTTTTAAAACATAATTACTGGCATCTCACTGTTTTTAATCGGTATTGAAATAACTTTGAGGAATCTTTGAAGTACAACAGTTAAAAATGGGCATTAATTAAAAAGAAACAAGAGAAAAGCAAGTGTCCTTTGGAGAAGGGAAAGACTGTTCATGTCTCTGTGTGTCTTTTTCCTTTTTGCCACTGCACAGGCCACAAAAGGTGTTTCACAATGGGCCAGACGAGTAATAAATCACAAACCCTTTTATTACATTTCATGTCAATATTCCCCACACAACAAAGTATACTGCCGCTCAATACAGTTCCCTTATTTCAATCTAAGCTTCAGACTGAGGAGTATTCAAATTAATATCGCTTTTTTTTCTCCCAGTCACGTTACCTCTCCAGCAGTGACGGGGAATCAATAATTAATGATGTCTCTCTCTCTCTCACATATGTAGAGCCCCATATTCCCCACTGTCATTGTTTCTACACATGAGAGGCAGAGATATTGAGATCAGATTGCTTTTACCGTATGTCTTCATGAAAAACACTCGATAGCCTGAAGCCGATTTGTCTTAAAATATAGAGGTCTTTCAGCAAAATCACTATTTACGTTTGCATCAGAACCAATACATGTCTATATGAGGGCTGCTATACAGTCCACCATATTGGACAAAGCCTGTCAATGAACACTTGACAGCAAATTGACTGTGAGTCTGCAAGTATAGCTCATGTCTTCAGTAGTCTTTAAAAAAATACTAAATTATTGAATTTCACAGGCTTTAGTTTATCATTTGTGTGAGATAGTTCTGCATATGGTAATTAAAAAGAATCCTTCTGATCATCAGAGAGCCCTACCATAGATATCTATGGTTCGTCCAATCATATGCTGCAATGTTGTGGCATTTTCAATGAAAATTCATTCGTTTGTTACTGTCACTGAAGAGCAGTATCTGAAAAGTTGACTGTTGGTGGATGCATTGACGTATCTGGAGAAGTCGGAAGAGGTATCGACGTACAGATATCTATGTCTGCACAAACGGAATTGCTTCAAAACACAGCATGCACTCAGAATGTGATTTC